GTATATTCTAAGTCAACGAGATTATTATTCCCTAATAGTAACAAGTCAATATCTGAGTCGCTGAGGCCGGCAGTTAGGGTTAAGTCCATCAGTACATCTATGTATAATGAAATTAAACAGATATAGAGACAGTGAGCATCCCCGCTGACGGATATCACTGGTTGTCACTACTTCAGACGACAACTTTCCACAGGTAGGCTCTCACCTGGCTGGTTGCATAAGTTTGAGTAGAGTGCCTTGATCAGTGAGATGCATTTTCTCGTCATTCTCTTCACAGCCAAACGTCACCATAGTACCTCTCGGTCGACAGAATCGAATGTCACTTTCAGGTCAAGAAATATGATGACTGTTGGACGCCGACGTTAAATATGCCTATATTACAGAATCTTTCGAAGGGTAGAGATATGATCAATACACCCTCCTCCTGGTCTAAAGTTTGCTTGGCTCTCTCATGTTTGTTCCTCCCGAGAACCGCTTAGTCTACGCATGATTACTGAGAGTAGAACTTTATGTACCATATTGGTCTGGCTAATCCCCCTTTGACTATCAATCACAGGAAGACTTGTCTCCCTTCTCGTATATCGGGATAAGCAATGACTGACATCAACCCGACGGAATTTCCTCCGATTCCCAGATGCTGCCTAATACCTTAGCTAATGCAGACAATAAACTATATCCATCGTCTTTAAACACCTCTGGAGTCATTCCATCAAATCCCACTGCTTTGCCTCGTCTCAGACTAGTGACAGCTCTTGTAACCTCAGTTAGGGATGGAGGACCTGTGTTTGTATCCTATTCAGGAATGTACCGGATGTTCGGTATGTTGAGCGTGGCTGCAGACCTACTAAATTGCTCCACAAAGTGTTCTTTCCAAAGTTCCAGTCGTCTATCTTGGGAGCTAATTATGGTGCCATTTTTCTCAGAGATTGTTTTACTTATCCTGCTTCCATGATAAGTCTAAATAGTTGTCTGATTTTACCTATCACTGATGTCTTCTCCATCGCTTTCGCGTTTGTCGCCCACCACTGTTCACGGTCGTTGTGAAGACTTCGTGTTAGTTTTCGTTTGAGTAGCTTTCGCTCCTCATCATATTCGGCGGTCTCCGGAATCAGTCTTGTTGCGTCAATCAGTTTGGCTGTTACTGACTTTTGGTTTTATGTTACTGACAGCCTTTACAGATGTGTCTACAGCTAGCTGTATATTGTGCCAGACTTCCTCAGGAGGAGTCTTGCTGTCCATTTCAGATTCTCGTTTCACTATTTCTTCTTAAATAGAGACTCAGAGACTCCATCTAGTTGAAGACGTAACTGCTTCGCTGCCAACAATGGTTGATGACGGTTTAATCATATGCATAAACGTGCGCGAAACATGGAGTGATCAGAGTCTGTGCACGTGTTCCAGGAGGAGGAGCAGATTTTTACTGACCCTTGCCAACGGTACCCTATCATAATATGGTCTATTTGAGGCCAACGTTGTTCATTTGGTGATGGAGGTCGCCAGATTAGGCAGTGTCTCTCTTTTAGCCTGAAGTTAGTGCTGACTACAGACAGATAATCATCTGAACAGAGCTGTAGAAGACGATCACCGTTGTCGATTCTTCATGTGCTTGGAACTCCATACGTACCATCTACATACTTCTCAGTCTGTCATAACTTCTTAATTGGACACTGAAGTCGTCTACCAAAAGAACTATATCTGAACGTTTCGATTTCGGCAGCAAACTAGACATTTTCTGGTAGAAATCATCCTTTATTTCATTCAAACTGCAGTTGGTTGGGGTGTAAGTGGAGACTATGAAAAGACAGCGATAGCTAACACCATCCTTCCTTCTTATAACGTACCCATCCAGACGGACCACACACATACGAGTATCTACTGGGATCCAGTGAACAAGTGATTTTCCTGCTCTAACACTCAATGATATCTCTACACATGCGAGTCATCACAAACTAGCTGAGAAGTCTGCTGATATCCTTAAGGTGAATTTTGCATATTCACCTTGTTGGCTGGTTGGGGTTAAATGAATCACTAGATTCGGACCTTGTATACCTGTTTCCGAGACACAACATACATCCATGGCTCGAGATTTCAGAGTTCTTGCTAGTAATGCATGTTGTCCTATTTGTCAGAGAGTTCTGACGTTGAATGCTCCAGTACGAAGTTGGCGACGTGGCTTTAAGAGGCTAGGCTATCGGGGGTGTTTGTCTGGCTCTCAACTTTATTTGTGGTCCCAGAATGAAATGAAGATGACTGCCTAGTTTCAAGAATAGAACTGACTGTAGTAAGGAGGCAAGATGATGAGGGTTACATGGATAAAAGAGTATGATGCTCAGGCGGGCTTTATGTGCTTCTGGAAATGTGTGGGCGGATGTTAGTTTTTGGATGCCCATACCGTGGAAGTTGATTTATTCTTGGGGTATCTGAACAGAAAGTAGGTTAGTGTTGAGTAATCACAGAGCCCAGGGGACAACTGCTTGAGGCTAGCTGGTCACACACGGCCTGTCTGGACTGGTTTCTTGGATTGGTTCCGTATTAGTAACTTACCCCCCCCCCCGGCTACGCCCTACCGTAGGGTAAGTCGGGATGTACAATTTTTTGGTTGACCTTTTCTAACCCTCTCACTCCAGAGTGGAGAGACAGAATAGCTGCCCGCCATGCTGGTCATTTGAGGGAAACACCTTACTGTTCTTTCATCCCCATTCACCAGTAATACGACTTTGCCCACAGATCCACAGCATTGTGTGAAATAAAATCTTATACTATTTCGCTAACTGCTTTTATATTTATCGTTATCCTAACAATCTTCCTGGCATAGTAGGACCTGCAGAAACATTAGTTCCAGCCAGTGCAGCTCGTTGGGTAATTGCGAAGTGCAAGCCTTTTCACCACGTCAATGTAACAGCTATCGGTCGGGTATGTACAAACAGTGTGATGATAATAGCATAGGTTGCTGTTTTGAATACTTCAAGGATGCCTGTCGACGAATCTGAATAACATATCAAGGTGAGTGATGAATAAAAGTTTATTCTGAATGAATCCGATTATGTAAACTCTAGAAATCTACATGCAAATATTAAAAATGAGATGCCTTGAGTAGCTGGTTCAAAGGAAATACCTACTTATTGTCCATTGTTATGAAAATATAGCATTATTAATACTACTAGATCATATAAATAGTGAGACTGTTTAATTTTGGCGAGTGAGATGTTCAATGCACAGTACGGAGAAGCCGCCAGTTAAAGACAATTTTCTGAATAACACTCGTTACACAACACATAAACCAATTCTCTTATATAATCCTACATTTTATATCTCCTATTATATCCAAGCAGTGGGGAGTAAATGAAGCATGCCCGTTGAATTCATTGTTTTCTCTATGTTGAATTGTGTCTTTCTATGTATATTTCTTCTGAGAAATCAGGAGCGATAATCTAATCGATTAATTAAACCATAAATTTGAGTTTCACGTAAAATCCCAAACACAGGAGTTATCTAAAGTACGGTACTCGAATTGAGGTGTCTATGGATGAATGACGCTAAATGCACTGTCACTGTGTGTCAATAGAAAAAAACATCAAAGATTTGTTAAGGGTGATAAACAGACAGAGTAGACAGCGCGAGAATGTTCAGATAAAGAATACACGGATTAGAATAGACAAAGTTCAACAGAGAGTGGAGTATAAATAAAGTGTGTAGAACAGTTACCGTTCAACCATAAGAAGATAATTACAATAGATCTAATAGAATGTTAATATATTAAGTAACCAAAGCTTCAATAAAAAACAACAGTTGTAGTTACAGAATAATAACATAACAAAAACCTAAAAACTCATGCTACTTACTAATGGTAAGTAGTATAAAGTTAAAAGCACGAAAACAGTAACTGACGTTAGGTAAGAAAGGAATTAACACCCCTGTGTTCTTCAAGTGATTATCATTCCTTACAGAATATCTTGAAAGCAAATGTTTTGCATTTCTCCCTTTTCCACAACACAGAAATTCATGTTGTGCTACGAATTTCCAAACTACTAACCTCACAAAACATCATGCATCACATTGTTGTGGAGACCGGAGGACTAGTACTTGATTTGGCTTTCTTCTAACTAAATGAGCAAGAACGAGATAAACCGTTGTTATTCACGATAGTAGATGACTAGCCACTTAATGACTATTACCCTACTGAGAAGGCAAGATTTATTCACCCGGCAAAAAGGCAAATGACTAATTAGCCAGGTGCAAATAAAAATTCAGTGATCTAACACCTTTGAACTAGGTTAAACTCGAATGTACAAAATCCATATCTTACATAGAAAAGCATGACTAAATACATGTGACCTCTTCATCCTAACAGTTGTCGCATAGAGCCAGTTGATAACAACCGAGCAAATAGAATAGTTTCAGTGGACCAATGGCTTTTATGACTATGAATAAGGCATATAGCATGGTAAAACGCAAGTTTCTAACTAACTGTTATTCATTATCTTTAAAATAATTTCTGACTATGAAATTTAAATTATGATACCGAGTAGTATTTGGAGATTCTTTTAAGGTGAAGTAAGAATATAGCACATTACTCAAGTGATTCAATATGACCTTATCGAAGAAATTGACATGATATTCCTAATCTATATTTTAGTTTCTTGATGATTGATCTCACACGGTGTGCCTGCAATTATGAGGAAAACTATAATTGAGTGAGCAATCGGATATACAGCAGACTGATCAACTGGGGTCACGGTTAAATTTATGTGCTAGTATATGTGAAGATGGGGCTCATTGGCTTAAGCACTGGACTTACAGGTAATGGCTTCTAGGGTACCAGTCCCACTCCACCTACTTCACCAGCTCTCCCCCCTCCCCCCCCCAACACAAACACAATATGTGCCTTTAATAGCCTGATAAATGGAATATATGATCAAGGTAACTAACTTCAAAGTGCAATACTAAATTTAATATGGTGGTCAGTTTGTGATCATGTTGTCGTGGTGTGATACAGACAATGGGTTCCAACAGGGTATTGTTCTCACAGTCAACACTGCATCAGCAACAGAATACTATACATGTATTTGAACATTCTATTTCATGTCATTTAATGTAAATCAAAACCATACACTCAGTGATTAGTTAAAGAATACAAAGTGTGTAGATATAATAAATAACTGTTCAATCATTTGAAAATACACCTTGACTTCCATGTCTTGCCATCTGCTGTTACAATATGAATGCTTCGAAAAGTACTCGACATCATCTGTCTCCAGATTACAGTGTAAATGAAGAAAAAAACAGCCGAAAGACTTTAATTTCATTAAGAATTTATCTTTAATCACATAGGGCAAAAAAGAAAACTGCAAATGTACTTACGTTTTCAATGAAATACAAAAAATAAAAAATAAAATTATTGGAAAGTCCAAATATTAACCCAGGAATACGTGAAGTGTCATATAAAAATTTTGTGATTATTAGGAGAGGAAAAGAGAGTTCCATTAAAATACACCTTTAGAGGGAATAGGCGAAGTGTCGAAAAAGAAACCAGCCGATATAATTTGTTCATCAGGATTATTGGATACACGTGGTTTAGGATTTCTTGTTGTACCCCATACCCATAACCAGTATAATGATGCAATGACAAAGAATACAGCTCCGAACTCAATCTGTATAGCTGCTATCCATATAAGAAAAGTAATTGTAAGCTGAATATACCATAAATTGAAAATTGCAATAATTCTAGATGGTGGCTGAAATTAAGAAAAAATAAATATAAAGTATAGAATCACTTAAATGAAATGAATAGCGACTTTTTACATATAGGTATGCATATAAACGGTAAATGTGGGGTAATGGTTAATAAGACGGCTACAGAGTTGCTCAGTAATTACTAGATGTACAGATAACTTTTATACCCGCTTTCTAAATCTATACTAACAACCTTTATTCTATATGAACGTTATTCATTACATTACTCAGTTACAATATCCATATTATGTAGAACGTGTAGTAGTATTTTTGAACTCTCTCACTGTTGATTGACAAAGTGAAATTAAGTTTTCAAGTGTTGGTTTGTAGAGATTTGATCGGTTTCAGGATTTCATCATGAGCTGACATTAGTTAGAGAACCATTGGAAAGCCTGCAGGGAGTACTGGACAGCTGCTGTTTCGTCCTAGTTTGGGACTCTTCAGCAGTATGCACCCATTACTACTGTTCGAACCCAGGACCTTCCGGTTACAAGGCGAGCTCGTATACCATTAAGCCACTGGGACCTGATCCGATGGTCCTTGAATTCTAACTTCTGCCAATTCACGACATAGCGCGACCGCTAGCCAATGTCTTCGGCGAGTATTTGTCCTCGCACCCGACCCGCTGCACCCTACTGGTCACGACTTCCCACTGGAACCCAGGCAACTACCTACCTGAGTAGGGCCAGTCTCCAGTGAGCATCTCATTGGTATTCAAGTGTTGGTTTGTAGGGATTTAATTGGTTTCAGGATTTCACCATGAGCTGACATTAGTTAAAGAAATTAAGTTTTTAATGAAAAGTGTATCTTTGATTGTTATTGCTACGTTTATAACCAATACATTCATTGTCAGTATCAAGAAATCCAAAAAAGGAGTTCTTATCTCAATGGCCGACTGATCATTTCACACACAATACGTCAACAACAGATAAGAATACACGTGAATGGATTACCAATTCGTGAATAAAAAGAAGTGCGTCTTACACATTGGCAAGTTTTATTTGGAAAATAAGTGAAGACGCAAAAGATTTTATTTCAGTGGTAGAGAAATAATTCAAAAAAATCGATATGATAACTGACTAGTGTGGAGGATTAAATCTGGTGTTAGCAGTTATTTATACTGAGCTCAATTTCTAATGAGAATACTAACACCTACCTATTAAGAGCAAAGAAGTAAATCCAAATAGATCTTTGAAGAGAACCATCAGATCTCCTCTTTAGAAAAACATCCAAAAAATGGAATTCCGAGTTAATCTCTGATTCCGACGTGAACATGATACAATAAGTAATGCTAGTGTATCCGGGATGAAAATTATATCTATGGATGTTACTTCGCTTTTCACCAACGTTCCCCTCACTGAAACTATCTGCTTTATAGGCAAATTCATTGAGGATAATAACGTAGACGTATGGTGTTCTGATCCACTACTTAAAGGAACTACTTTTGAGGTGCACTCTAAATGTCCAATTCAAGTTCAACAACACGATTTATAGACAAAGAGATGGAGTAGCAATGGGATGACCATTGGGTCCTTTACTTGCAGACTGCTTCTTGGCTAGTTTGGAGAATAGTATTTTACGGCCTACTATTGACAGTTTCCATCTGTACCAAAGATACATGGATGATACTTTCATCATATGTGACGACAAAACCGATATCGAATTGATAACTAAGGAGTTCAACAGCTGACATCATGCTATCAAGTTCACGTCGGAATCAGAGATTAACTCGGAAATCCAAATAGCTTAAAATGAAATAAAACCCAAACTCAAATCATATTCTTATTCAGTAGCAAGAAACTACCAAAAGTGCCTTGGTTTAGGCGATAAATGCAAGTGTGCTCTAACACTGATAAGCGATTGCGAAATTTCTTAATACATCAAACACTTTAGACAGTCTAGAAAATCTGAAGGATTTTCATTTTATAATATAACACGGAGCAATTGATGAAAAGATGAACTGACTTGAAATAGTATTTATTTTCTTATGTCAATGAGGTGTAAAAATAATACTGCCAAAAGCTGACAAATTTACCCATGCTAGCCATAATCTATTTTTAAACTGTTGGGTTGTTTAACATTCTACCAGGAGCTTCAAATCGATATGCTTATATATATATATATATATATATATATATATATATATATATATATAGAGAGAGAGAGAGAGAGAGAGAGAGAGAGCAATTACCTTAGACTAATCTTGTTCTTAGTGTCTGTACAGTTCACGCCTAGTTATCGACTTACGGTTTTACTGACTGACTGAACGATCGGCACAAAATTATTAATTACGTCAACAATTTTCATTTATTACAAGTTATTTTGAAATAAAAGTTTGTCTAGAAAAGGGGCTGTTTCCACTGTACTATCAGATGGATGAGACAGTTACTCAGTTCCTAACGGTTATAATTCTAATACAACTAAGGTTATCAAAATTTAACCAGTACTCCGTATATCGGCTTGTTGATTAAGATTAAAAAAGTTCATGAAATACAATTCTTTCCTTTATCCTATAGTTTTGGTTTGTAAGAGTTAGTTATGCTTTTACGAGTTGATCACGGATTGATATCAGTTAGAGAACCATTGAAAACCAGGGAGTACTGGACAGCTGCTGTTTCATCCTAATCTGGGAATCATCGGCAGTACGCACCCACCACCAAGGTTCGAACCCAGGACCTTCCGGTTACAAGGAGAGCTCGTATACCATTCAGCCACTGGGACCCGATTCAGTGGCCAGCCCATGAATTCTAACTTCTACCAATTCGTGATTTAGTGCGACCCCAACCATTGTCGTTGGTCGGACATCCATCCACACACGTGACATCTAATTGGACCTCACTGGTCATGACTTCTCACTAGAACTCCAGGAAACTCCGTGCTGTAGCAAGTCACTAGCAAGCATCAGATTAATATCAATCCGTGACCAATTCGTAAAAACAATTCTTTCCTGTTTGTTTTCTGAAGCGAATACAATATTTTGGTAATTATTGCTAAAATGTAGGCGAAATGAGGAATTACTACTTAAATTGTGAGATTTGTGTATATTGTATTAACATATATATTCTTAAATAATAAAGTGGTTACATAAAAAACAAAGGTATATTACTTTATCTGACTTTTCTGCAGGTTTTTCAACAACTTTCGGGAGTGTAAGTTCCACTTCACACGGTGTTAGATGTTCCAGACGATAATTATCTAACTGAGATTTTATTTCAGAGAACGAAGGCTTTGTACGTCCAAGTGTCATACGTGATTAGTCTAAAATTTGTGTTAAAAAATGTACTTTATTACGTGATTACTAATTTAAGCGATAAATTTATACGTATTAAAGTAATTCACTAAGCTAAAAGCGTATATATATATATATACTCAGGTAACACCAAGTGTTTCTAAGCTGCACCTATTACGGGATGACTGTCTGTTTTCGACATAGAACTTTGCACCGATGTGCAGCAGTTCAAGTCACCACACTCCATGTACCACACAAAGCAAGAGAAGTACAAGAAGTGCATAATAGAGACAGTAAACAGAGGTGTGAGACAAAGGAATAGTAATAACGAAGAACAATATAGTTTCATTGGAAATCATAAGTCACAAGGAGTGGATGCATCTGCGCCATTGAGAACGAGATGACTAAAAGCTGATATATCACTAATCAAGGCACTCTACTCGAACTCACGAAGTTGTTCAAGAGCTTATAGAGCTGTCTTCTTAAGAAGTGACAGACAATGATGTTCGTCAGGGATATCCGAATGTCTCCATTTCTATTTGACTTCATCACAGGTGTACTCATTGATGTGTCCTTAATCGACTTTAGAGACTTAGTAATTGACTGGTCACTATGGAAGTCTTGTCAGTTTGGAATATATAGGTGATACTGACCTTCTAGATGGAGACACCTTGAGCAAAAACTTTGTTTTAAGGGGATAATATTTGCTCTTGTCAAATGCAGGATAGTGCTAAAGAACTGGTTTGCGATGACTCTTATTTTAAAGATAGGGAGTGAAGTGAGTGAGCGTGCTGACCACTTCACTTATTTATGAAGTTGCATCAGCCCTAATAAACTTATTGAAGGAAAAATCTCGATGCGGCTGGTGTGGCATTTCTGAATCAAGTCATTTCTAGCACACACGTGATATCCTGCTATGGACCAAAAGATGTGTCCGCTCTATCCCTCTTTACATCTGTGATCGTGATCATTGAAAGTTGAAGATTTGAAGAGGTTAGCTGTCTCTGAGCACAGATAGTTCCGCTCTATTTCTCATCTTAGTTGCTATCATATGGTGAGTGATACTGAGGTGTGGTGTTAGGTAAGCGGGAAAAGTTAATCAATGAAGTGAAGTTACATCGGTTGAGATGGCTGGAACACGTGTCACTCATACCAAGCTTGACCCTCTTCATCAACTTACGTTAGCCAACACGCGGTTAGGTTGGGTAGGAGTGGTCAAATTGAAACCTGGAATCAATCTATCAAGTCTTTGACTGTATGTGTGAGCCACGCAGGGAGGTGTAGACTGTCTGGTTTGGGTCCTTGAAATACTGAGAACCAATGTTTTTGAAACTGTTGGTGACATAGATAAAAACCGTTTTCAATGGAATAGATAGATCTACTTTTTTTAACCTTCTAAATTCATTAAATGTTCGTGTTTCTTCATGCAATTATTCTTTTTATGGTACATTACCAATCATCATAGTTCTTTTTTTTTCTACATTTGTGTACTATACGGGGTGTAATAAGGTGGACGGCTGCACTTTTGCGTCAGGTTCTAAGTCGAACATTTAGTCCGTTAGTTTACCCGGTTCATCCAGAGAATCACAACACCAGAGGTGACACCTATGACACAAAGGAATGCGTTTCTGGTTATATTATGAGTATAACCTTTAGTGATAAGCAAATAATAATTGTGTACACCACTCCGAGTTAGTGAATAGAATTGAAGCGAAATGCCATGTACAGCGAACCAGAATATCTCATAACAGAACTTGTAGTTACGCTGAATTTGAACCAGACTAGTAGTTGTTACAGTGCCTAAAATAAAAATCGATATTTTTGCCACATTCCAATGACAGAAATACAGAACGTGATAAGTCAGTTTCCATAACCTAACTGACAGAACATTAAACAGTCGAACTACTACTTCTGCTCCTGTTTCTGTTAGAAGTGGAACAGGTAGGCTATTTGGACATCATACTATTCATTGAATACACATATACTGTAGCATATACCAGTTTTGCACAAGATGTTACGATATTTTAGATGCAATATTTATGCCGATGATTTATGCCTTTATTTACTCCTTACGTCGATCTGCGCTTAAAAGTAAAACGTAAAGAAACACTAACATAATTTAAAAAGACTGCATAGTTTCAGCTTCTTTACTTGATAGGATAGGAAAGAGAAACAATAACGAACTTCAAACACGTATACTCTGTCGAGTAAATGATAAACAAAATCTGAAACTAACAGAATGGAGCAAGCCATATTTAGCGTACACGACGACACATGTTTTAGATTATACAGTTTGCATAGTTGAAAATAGAACAGACAAACGTCTACTCCAAAAGACTGCATTTGTGTGAAAAAAGAGATCATTTATGTCTCTAGAGGGTTCATATTTAGCCAATAAAGGTTAGTAACAAATATAGTGTCCTGGGACAGTTTTCCTAGAGTAAAAATAGCCAATTTGAGATGTGACACTTGATTACAGAGATTTTGGAGCTCGTGACTAAGAAATAATTAACTTACTGAAGTAGTATAGTAAATCAAGTACTTTCCCTTATGTAAAGGAGTTGGGATAAATAACTTACCAAGTAAAAGTTAGAACATCAAGAATATCTGCAGTACGATGAGTTCGTCCTTATATGAAAATATCGTTTGAAACGGTGCAGGTGCATTCACTGTTTTTCATTATCGAGATTCTGGAAACGCTCTATAATCATGTAATTTTCTCTGTCGTAGTTGCATCGCATTTCATTGCTATTTTAATGTGCTACTCCAATGTTTGGCAACTCGAAGAAAATGAAGTTTTATAAGCACTACAACGTTGACAGGTCAGTCAGACACTGAAGAAACTTGTTATATAGTGTTATAACTGTAGGGAATTGAATGAAGACGTTTTCACCTTATTCTGTCTGCGCCTGAACTAATCTGTCTATCTGCTTGTCGTACCTTCCGACTTGGTAAAGCACGCAAATATCAAAAGACAAAGGCTGGACTGTGACTGTGTATTGAAGTGCAACAACGATAAAGAAAGCCATGGTATTTATACATTTTACAACAATATGGACAGCTAACAGCATTTGAAATAATTTATCTTAATAGCCAATAACAAAGTGCGTGAGAGATGATAATATACCATATGTGCGAGGTTGACAGTCAGTAACAAAATGTGTGGGAATGATAATATACCATATATACAAAATTAGCAGTCACTACCAAAATGTGTGAGAATGATAATATACCATATATACAAGATTAGCAGTCACTACCAAAATGTGTGAGAATGATAATATACCATATATACAAAATTAGCAGTCAATACCAAAATGTGTGAGAATGATAACATACCATATATGCAAGATTAAACAGTCAATACCAAAATATGTGGGATCCTATCATATAGTGAAAATGCGTCAAGAAAACTTACAGGATATCGGTTTTTATGGGAAAAACTTCCAAAAATTCTTATTTTATGACTTCTATGATTTTCGAAATACTGGAAACGCAAGGTATTTCACACTAACTACTCTCTAATGTAAAATGTCTGAATTCAGGTAAGTTACCAAGGTCACATTACATCAACTGACTACAGAACTGCTGCACATTGGTGCAAAGTTCTATGTTGAAACCAGTCAATCAGATACACCTGCTGACGAGTGCCATCAGGTAGAAAATCCAATTATTTGACTAGTACCGAGTGATAAGTCTTTTGTCAATATGTCGTAAGAAATGTTGTATTTCTTGAAGAAAATGGAACTTAAAGTATTACATTAACAAGTTTGCTAAATCTGAAATGCTAAAAATCCTTCAAAATTTTTCAAACCGGCTGTGTAAACTAATAAAAACAAGGTATCCATTATCAACAACATATGTCATGAAATATGTGTATGATCATACACACTTAATCAACATGTAGTCCTGAAGATAAGCGATAAGCATTTAGGTGAGGGACAGGCACTATAAAGACAGCACAACTTAATTCCCAACTGAAGAAGCAAACAAATGACCACTATTCTGTTGAGTATTAAAACTGTAGGCATTTTACCGGAAGTGCGTCGGTAGTATAGCGGTTAGGACTCTCGCCGACCATGCACATGGTTCGGGGTTCGATTCTCGGCCGACGCACTTCTTTACCTCTCTAAGCCAGAAATAATGCTGGTAAAGAGGAAAGGTTGGGCATGAGGCTCACAACCCCATCCTGTAAAATAAACACTGCTACAGAAACTTCAAGCCACTAGCTTGAAGCCCTATGTTCCACTGGGAACGTGAAGGAAAAAAAATTTCACTGGAATAGGGACTTCATTCTCACTCCAAATTTGTGAAAGAATACAGACTTCCTAACGCCAGCGAGTAATGAAAATTCATACACTTACCTCAAACTATGTAAGAATTCTATAGATGCACTAGTACCTAGTCTGTCAGCTAACTCACTATTGATCAAATGAAAAGAGACTGTTTGGCAAAACACAATACAGTACCGGATAATATAATACGCCAGGAGACAAACCTATAAGTTATGACCTAATTAATATTGTAAATGTTATTTTAAAGTACTTTCAGAATTATTCCACACCAAGTACACTCTATAAACCTATTGACTATTTCAGAGCCTTCCGGATTTTGATGAAGGCTGTATTAAAAAAGTCATAGTACAACTTGCGATGACTGGAGCTTGCAGTGTTAAGACCTATATCCCTAAATTACACAATCAGATTGTCATCCAAATTTATACATATTTTAATTGATACATTTTTTCAAATTGTCAGTTCAGTGATCTATGTGATTTGTGCTTACTAGGTGAATATAATTCAACTAAAATGCGCTAGGTCACGACAGTGGTATATAAGCATGGAAGTACATACTATTATTCATTTGCTTAAAATCATTGTGTTGTGTTCGTTAGATATTGTTAATGCCATTACATGGTATTACAAAATACTCCTACTGCCTCTACTTTACGAAATGTGTCATACATGTTGTCCGATGTAACGGGTATATCCCAAAGAATAATGCTTTCTTGTATATGTTACACGTGGGTGCAATTTAAGCATGTTTGTGATGAATTTATGAAGGTAATAACTAACTTGTTCATTATCTTTTTGGAAGGATTCAAACATTTCTTACCGGGCTGCTTTAAGTCGTAAAAAGACACATCTGGCCTTATGATATATGAGTATGTGAAGTATGAATGCACTTTTGGAGATCATTGTGCTGCTAGAGGTGCTGGCTTGAGGAGCAAAGCGTAAGTTGTCTGTGCAGCTAAATTTCAAATTATTTTAGGTTCAAAAGTATTTCATGTCAGTAGACATTTATAGTACGGTATATAGATGAAGGATGCAAGATAACAAAATACTAAATTGTGCATAACCATCCAAGCACTGAAAGTTTCATGTCTACCGATGTATCCAGAAGTCGGTTTTCATCAGAGGAAATGACAACTGTGCAACCATTTATTGAAAGGAACACTGATGTTCATGAAATAATGGATCAAGCACATGAGAGATTCGGCAAAGTTATCTTATATGATGACATTAAGAATATGTGGGTTAGAATAAATAAACGTAAGTCTTATCGAAATAAATGTGACAGTAGAAAAAAATCAGTAGTTTACAAGACCTGCTTCATCGATTGAGGTAGACAGGTCCAGTTATTGTTCTGAATGACGATGCAGGTTTCATCTCAAAAATCGTCTTTCTTAGTAATGATATGGTCACCCTCTACCATAGGTTTCTAGTAGTTGGAATTGATTGTACTTATAAAGGAATAAGATGGGTTAAGTGGCAGTACAAGAAGGTACAATTTCTTCTACAAATTTATTATAGATGATCTTTATATCATTTTGTTGTGACTGATGAATTTGGAAGAGGAACGACTGTTTTATTTGTTTTTACTAGGAGGGAAAGAGATCTTGCAAACGTTCAAGAGGTTCACGAGTAATACATCGAAAACGGTAATATTCACTGTCAGTGCAACTGCACAGATGAATGCTTTAAGGGAGGAATTTCCTCGATGCAACATTGTTTTATGTCTTTTCCATGTATGCCAGGCGTTCAAAGGAAAGACACATTTCATTTTCATTAATAAACATAACCCCAACAGTTTCCAAATAGAATGGCGTACACGCGCAGCTATGATATGTAGGTTAACAATTAGCAATGTATTGCAGAAGGTTTTTGAGTTACCTAAACCTCATAAGTATGATAGATGCTGAAGCTGGTGACTACATCCCTTTCTTTTAAATGTTACTCTTGGTTATAGCCAGATATGGACGAGTCAATATAACACCAGGAGCAAAATTCCGCATGCCACCCGATTAATACCACAACTGGGCAACGTGTTTCGCAATGTTTATGAACGGTTAAGATGTCGCTTTGTCAGTCCGAACCAAAGAAGTCCCAATTCTGCACCGTGGAAAACACAAGAGTTCACCGGAAGGTTGGACAGTGTACTATTAGATGAACCACAGACAGTATTACGAATACAACACGCACCTGTGAATAGTTTATTTTTGTGAAAATGATAGTATTATTTTGTTGTTTCTGCATATATTCACAAAATAAACATTTACGCCCGAATTGTTGTTATACTTCATTTCCATTCCAAAGAGTATTATCAGCCGAGTGCTAGTCGTTCCTAGCATATCCCAGATAACTGTGATCCGCCACTTATACTGTCCCAACGCTTAAAAGGTTAACTAGAATGCAATGAAATTTCATTTTGGGCTATGCAAAGTTTGCTACGCGAATTAGCTCCGTTAATGAATGCTTACCATAACCGTTAACTATCAACTTAATAACTGTGAACTTCACACTAGAATAAGCGTAAAATAGCATCCAGTGACAGAAATTGACCTCGACAAGTTAAAATATGAGAAACATCAAAAAACCTGTTAAATTTAATGGCAAACGAATTCACGAAAACGAATAACCAGTCGACGCAGGAACCCATAATGACCTTCAATCTGTGTATACCGTCTATCATCCAGTGCGTAGCGCACTATTTATTAAACGCACAACTCCACTAACCAATCCAATATCTTTATATTTTTATTACAGCTTGATTCCACACCGTATTTTTGTTACAAGTATGGAATTTTCAGCATGTGATATCGATAGCCCAAATTTTACAGACCAACCATAGATATCAGGTGTGCGTCGGCAGGGGATGGAACCTCGGACCATGTGCATGGTTGGCGATAGACCTAACCACTGTGCTACCGACGTTTTTACGTTTTCATGAGCTATTATAAACCAATCTGATTTCTTTGTGCTCGCCTCTTTATTGTGAGATATAGGTTTCTGATCTTCGGTAAACTTCTGTGTAGCTCGTCCCGCCACTTGACTGTCGTAGTTTTGGTTGACTCCCAGAGGAGTTGTGATGAGATTAATTATATGTGGTTTGTAGTATGAGGTGTGTGAAGACTGTTACTACTGTGAATGGAGTTGATTCTTTCACCAGTTAGTCCTCCGGCATCGTCGTCAAAAGAAGAGATAATAATAATGGTAATAATGTATATAATTAGTGAAGTTATTCAAACTAACAGACAGAGAAAGAAATACGAAAACGTAACAACAGTCAGCTGATTAAATTTGAAGAATAATACGAATAATATATATATATATCGGTAATAATGATAATAATAATAATAAGTGTAGTTAAAGTTGTCAGGAGAATAAGACGGGAGGGGGAATGTAAAGAAGCAAAAAATGACAAGTTTTATTGTCTAAACTCAATGGTGTATGCAGTTTTAAGAGGATAGGCCATTTGGATGCAGTCCTTGTGTCGCTGCATGGTTGTCCAGCCTTCGCGTAAAGGCGTCCAGAGACGGTGCCATAGCTACATCTGCCGGTAAGGAATTCCAGGGATGGCAAACCCACAGTGTAAAGAAGTTAGAGCGCACCCGATTCCTTGCCCTCAGGTGACCTATCCTTCTGGGACTTCCACGAGGGAGCCCATACCTACTCAATGGCAGAACACCTTTGTTTGAGTGATTCTGGTCATTTGTTGTTTTGTAGGCAGTAATTAAATCCTGTAGCTGCCTGGCTTGTTTTGTGTAGGAGAAGGTCATGATGAACAGTGTCAAATGCATTTTCAAAGTCTGGGAAGAGGACATGGACTGGAACACTCATATCCCAGCATGATGTACAATCGTTCCAAGCTGATAGTAGGTTAGTAACGCAGGATATGCCTTTCCTGAAACTGTGTTGGGCTTCATGGAGTATATTAGACCTATCGAAATATTCCCTGATGTGATCTTTAATTTTTTTTGATTTTTTTTAATTTTTGATTTACAGCTTGATTCCACACTGTATTTTTGTACAAGTATGGAATTTTCAGCATGGATATCGGTAGCCCAAATTTTGCAGGCCGACCATAGATATCAAGTGTGCGTCGGCAGGGGATCGAACCTCGAACCATGTGCATGGTCGGCGAGAGTACTAACCACTGTGCCACCGACGCACAATAATACTTTCCAGTACTTTTGATATCTCTGGGAGTAGAGCTACTGGTCTATAACTAGTGGCATTTTATCCTTCCCCATCCGTGAAGATGGGAGAAAGGATGGTTGTCAATGGAGTTGAAGATTGAACGATCAATTCTTGGTTGTTTGCTCAAAATCAACTTCCTCGATTTTCGCGGAGGCATCAATACGACAGTCATCGTCTCATCGGTCGCTGTTCAGAAAGAAGAGTGAAACATCGTCAGAAGTAACATAACGATTTATTATTGTAATATTTGTTTACATACCTTAGTTGCTTAGTTCGTTTATTCCTTTTATATGTTGGTGTAACAATAAAGAAATAACAAGCAGCAGATTGGTGTTTTGGTTTTTGCGTCCGTTATTACTAAGCGTTTCTGAAACTCAAAGGAACAGCGTGGGCCCGAGCGTAGCGAGAGCTGGGCATTAACGGTTTATGAGACGAGACTGACAGTTTCTGACGATAGAAACAGATCTGGCGGATTCAAACAGTTGGTGAAAGTTTGGATAGTCGCCGTTCATTTTTCCTGGTGCCGGTCAAGTTCTCTTTGAACAAGCAATATCTGGAACCTATTTTGGAATTGGGTCAAGTTCAACAATGCCTGGGTCAAAGAAGGGACAGAG